GGAGTCCCTGGCTGGTAGTGGTTAACGCCGGGATTCTTTTGACCATGCCTGGTGGGCTGCGGTATACCCATTATGCAAAGCCTTGTCCAGCAGCAGGCCCCATTGAAACCACAGGTGCGTGATGAATATAATGTATTTGTAGTATGTACTAATCCTCACCAATCCTGTCGACAGCTCCCAACAGCTCCCAACAGCTCCCAACGGCTCTCGGAGTGAAGGGGTTGAAAGCCTGATAACAATCTTGTAATAGTTTCGGCACTGGCTATTTACTGAGAAAGTTTTGTGTCACCGTCAACAGGTGCTTCATAACATGAGCATGTGGAGTGCAGGAATGAAGAACTTGAGCCAAGATCAGGTGGACTCGGATGCTAAGAAGGCTAAGAAAGACCTCAAACTGGTTAGTTAAAGATGCTTCTCACATTCTAGTGATAAGAAAGAGACAGAGAAACAGTCTGTCAGATAGGCAACTTGTACTTCAAATGGAAATATTTATAACCTCAGCTTTGCTGGAAGAATATATTTGTGTTTAACTCTTCACGCAAATGTCATTTACGCACATATTTAAAGCTTGTAGAGAGGAATGCTTGCAGAAACAGCATTAGTAAACGACGATTTGCCCGCTTGGAATTGTCACTGGCTCTAAAGTCACTTCAGGGTTCGCGTGACTCCTGCAAACTGTAGTATTCATGCATGCATTGCCACACCTCTAGGTACTGCAATGTTTTCACACCTCAACAACCTCAGCAAGGCTATAGAACCCATTTTGGGATTTTCTAGAAGAAAAAGTGATGATCAATTTCATTTCTGTTCATTAGGGTCCATGGGATGTCTTGAAGCAAGTCTTTGCGTGTGATGAGGAAGCAGAGAAGATGTCACTAACGGATAAGATGGGTCTGTTCTTCCACGATTACTCCATCGCCCCACTGTTTGTTCACGAGAACTATCTCTCCATTGCACCCAAAAGGGCAAAGTAAGTCAAAGACTTCTCACAGCCCGTGTACGGTAGAATTGCCTTCCAAAATCTCTCTAGCTGTGTGTGTGTCTCTCTCTCTCTGTCTCTCCTATCCTTGTCTTCCAGAGCCTGTATTTTATAGTCTACAATTCTTCATGAAATTTTTTTCTCATTATGTAAGTTTCTTAAAATAGACTCCTCAGCATTACTTAATCTTACAAGAAACCTCCAGAACATACACTAGATAACTGGAAATATCGTCAGCTTACAAGACATCGCCGGAACGTACAACCAGAATATTCTAGACTACCATGAGGTCAGTCACTGTGGCCTCATTCAAATGCGGGTCACACACGGTATCATTGCATAATCTACCACACGTAGACTGTGTGTATAGAGGGCATGCTAGTTATTTTTCAAGGTTTCTGTTTTTGCTTGTTGTTGTAAGGGGTGATATTAAGCAGCACCTCGGTCTTCTGAGCAGGGCAGCGGACAGCATCTGCAGTGGTGATCTCGTGGATAGAGCGATCCGTACCACACAGCGATGGAGCTTGCTACCTACTCAGGTAATTGGAAATCTTGCGTAGTCAGTATGTTGATGGAATATGGTGTGTATTCTGAAGCCACAATATTCCAACGATAAATGAAGATACATGTATCAGTTAATTTACTCTACTTGTAGGCCATCTTTGCAAGTGTACTGCCTGGAGATGCCATGAAGGGCTATATGCGAGGTATGATACAGTTCCCGAGCTGGTTAGGAAAGAACTCGAGCAGGAACAAAAACCGTAGGCTGTTACAGGAAATCCAGCAACATATGAGGTTATCGTAAGTGAACAGAAATTCAATTGATTCATATACTGGTAACTAGGAATCTCCGTGCAGACCCTATGTATGGAGGGTACTAGTTATTAAACTTGCCCGAGACCTGCTCATGGCCAACAGTTCATGGGCCCTGGGCAGGATTTACCACACGCTCTGTAGTACTGAGGTGGGTTGAGGAAGGAACTTCTTTGATGATGTACCCGAATGTGCAGACTTGTCGCCGGAGATTGTAAGCCAGCCCATCGTCCATGTGGCACAAAATCCTAACAACCTACATAGCAGGCAGTCCACAGCAGTGGGTACAGAGCAAGTGATAATGGGGATATTGGTATGTACAGAAAACCATCTATACAAGCATCTTGCCCATTGTGGTGGTCATTTGATGAATTTTGAATAATAATAAATACTTCAGAATGAACAAATGAAATTGTAACTTTATAACTAACTGTTTGGTACAGATTTTTGGAAATGTTACAACATGACCAATTATATCATTGCCACAGGACTGTTCTGAGACAGGTGTTTGTGAGTTAAGTTTTGTACACATTTCCTTGATTCATACTTTCCCATCATCTCCAGTTCATCAGGCAGCATGAATGACATCACCTTTGACTATGTTCCTCGTCTGCGGGACTTCCTAACGCAGCCTTTACTGACCCAGGAGTCAGATGGTGTGTCAGAGGTCGTTGAGTTGCTCAATAGCTATGACCTGACTAGAGAGGACTTTGACACTGTACTGGAAGTGAGCCAGTTTGAAGGAAAGAAGAATCCAATGGCAGGGGTCCCGTCAAAGGTTAGCTGTGTAGATTTGGATAAGTTTACTTTTGAATTAATATGGATAACTTTTTAATGAAACGTTTGTGTTAGAATGTTTATTGTCGGAACCAATATTATTTTTGCTCAATTTTTTTTCAGGTCAAAGCAGCTTTCACCCGAGCATTCAACAAAGAGGGTCATATGGTTCCTTATGCATATGGTGACATCAGCAAGAAACGCAAGGTTACCATAGCAACTGAAGATGTTGATGCATATGGTGAGGGGGACATGGTTGTTGAAGAGGAAGGCAGTGATGACGACGATATTAGCAAGAATGCTATGGTCAAGGTGAGTGGGCTGCTCCGGTGGTATTGTTTCGCGTCATTCGAGTTAGTAAGCACCGAGCGGTTTGCTGCCAGACTTTTGTTTTACACCTTTCTGAAGTTTTTTTTACTGGTTAATGGTCCTTCAACTGATCCTTCAGTGTGTCTTGAACCATTTGTATTTCACACCATCATTTGCGGTCATCAGGCTTTTTTCAGCTGACAATTCCAAAAGTCATTTTAGCAGCATTCTAAGAAGAGCTTTGGTAATAAAGTAGTATACAAGTTTCTCTAACTCAAAACTTTCCTCTTTTTATGTTGCATCTGATACCTTTTTTCTTCACAAAGAACTATTTTTTCCATTTTTTTTTTCATTTTTGCAAGGTCCAAGCTGCCAAGACTGAGACAAGCACCAAATCAAGTGTGGCTAAAAGTAAAGGATCCAAGGGTAAAGCCCCAGCCAGAGGAGGTGGAGCTGTCAAAGGGAAATCAAAAGCCAAAAAGTAGTGATGATTTTAGGTGGACATGCAGCATCACGAGTTAAAAACTGGCTCGGAATGGTTGGCCAAAGTACTTGTATGTACGCTTCAAAGTGAATGAAAAGATTTTATTGCATTCATTTGATCTTTGGCTCTTCGAGAGTGGAATGTACAAATTAACAAGACAGGATTCCACGCAGATTTTTGTATCTGAACTCATTAATGTTTGCTGCTTGGAGTCAACTGCATAATCTGTTATAAACTAAAACTGGTAAGCTTTTCGACAAAACTCAAGGAGAAAACTATTGGAAATTCAGCAAAACTCAGCATAAACCATTGGAAATACTTTTAAAAAATGGTAACTTTTATGAGCACTTTACTACAGAGTCGATTATTGAAATGAAACCTTTGGTCGAGTTTTGCATTTGCGTTCATCTAAAATATCTAAAAATTCTACCTTAGAAGTGCTCCTGGTCTTAAAGGATTTGGTAAAATTTGTATTGTTCTGTCATGGGTATATTTGGTTTTTTTTGTGGGAAAGAGTTCCCATATAAGCATGATTCACGGTGTTTTTAAAGCTGGGATTGTTATTAACAACCCAGTTATGTGTGATGCATTAAACAAATTTTCCAAGATTTCCCCTCCATTTGCAACAAAACGTTCACAGTACACTCCCTGTACTTGGTATATTTTTCTAGCAATTGCTTTCTTAATCAAGGAGTGATGGAAATAAATACAAATTACGAAAATTTCATGGTTGTCATAGTTTTGGGGCATTTTATTTTTAAAACGGGGTCCCAAGGAACGCATTTATAGTAAGTCCAGAAGAATGACAAGTAAAAATTTTCTTGACATTTCTCGCGTCTTGCATCAGATTCACGATGTCATTGAAGAATATTTGAAAAGGGAGATAATGTTTTCACAATATAACATAAATTAATACCAGATGAATCTGCATCAGCCTAGTTGTACGAGGCCTTGTAATTCTAGGACATTTTATTTTCATCACCATCTGTGGTTTTGTGTCTGTGATGTACTGACCACAGCACTGGCAGGAACTCTGGTTTCATTGTCTCCAGAAAGTTCTGCCTCCACCTTCGCTCAAATTTCTGAAGTCCGTTTTCTTCCTTCATCACCGTGGCAATGACCTTTTCGCCATGTGACCCCTGAAAATCTTCATTCTCACATTTTACACTCATGGTGACCGTGTCATTAACGACGTCTTCGTCCACTCGTTCCATATTCCAGAACTTAGCTAACACCCCCTCCAACTCTGCAACACGCTTCTCTGGGAGTTGTCCAAACTTTTTGTGTCGCTGAAGAGCCTTGGCGGCAGAACGAGCTTTGACTTTCTCAGGATCCTCACGATAGCGAGCGTTTGTAGTGTTAGTGATTGGTGCATTGTACTCTTCAACAAGTTGCTGGCGGATAATGCGGTCATAGTTTGAACTGAGTTGATGACAAGGAAGACACAGGAGAAGAACATCATGAGATGTGTGTTTCTTCAGCTTCTCTGGAAAATGTCTAGGAAGAAGAAACAGTTTTGGAAATTGAGAAAAATAGTAAATTGCGCACGTCTACATTTTCAAAATTAATGTTGGCATCATTGTATTGTAGACGGAGAGCTAAGAAACATTTCAATCATTCGTCTTTTGATTAAAAAAATCAAATTGGGAATTCTGAGATTAACTTCATATAAACCTGTAACATAATGACATCACACTTTTACATATGCGCTTTCCTATAACACTGAGGTGGGACGCGATCCGAGTTCTCATTTATCAACCGCAAATGGAAAGAAATGTGGCATCATAGATTATGTCAGGTCTATTGGGAACTGTGTAATTCAAATGCAAGGACTTACCTTCGATACTCGTGAGGCACTATGTTTTTTCTTATGTAGGAATCTTCTCGTCCACACACTACACACATGTTGGCTTTGTCTTGTAGATAGTACGCTCGATCTAAACCTGGCATTCCGGAGGGTTCAAAGTTCAGCTGTACTGTGTAAGGTTCCTGGGACACTTCTGTTCCAATTCCTTTCTTCACGTACCATTCTGCCTTCTGTCTGTGACAGGTGCAAAGCATTTGGCCATCAGGTGCTATCAAACGACAGTTGTGGTACATCTGAGACTGCCTTGGCTTGTACGCATTGCTGGATTTGTTAATTGAGAGCTTGTCACGGTCTAAGGTCAGGACATTCGTGTTTGTCTTTCTCTCGGAGGCCTTGCTTTTGTATTTTATATCCACCAGTCCCTGGCACATTGTTCCTACGCCATTCCAAAAACTTGAGTCGGGCTGTTCGGGAATCCTAGATAATTTCCTGTGAACGATTTCTAGGAAAATTTCCATGGCAACGAGTACATCTTGTGCCCCATATTTCACTTGCTCTTGGGACAGTACCTCAGCTTCCCAGTTCCCACAGCGGACGTTGTCAGATTTATTCAAGGACTCATCCAGGTAAATCTCTGCCAGATTGCTCAGGCCACCTGTGAACTTTGACCTGAGGTCTCGCGGCAAGTGTCGATAAACCAGATGGCGCAGATCAAGACAGCCTCTTGTTATAAGGCCGTGGTCATTCAGAAGGCGATTTGCATCATCAAGAACTGCCACACCAACTTTTAGGATGCTACAAAAATTAAAAAGTCATCGACAAGATCATTGTACATGTAATTTGAACTCTGCAACTTTGATAATTCAGTATTATTTTAGAAAAACTGTTAGCAAAAGCCAATGACATTAAAAAATGAGACAAACAGACAAACATGTACATTAACGTTTACCCTTTGTCCATCAGGAGATCTTTCAAGCTTTGTGACAGACTGTGTCTTTTGAGTTTGCAGAGACGGATCAGGACTGAATAGCCGCTGGCTGTAGCTAGCTGTAGCAGAGCAACAGGCCGACGTCGACCATCCTTCTCACTGCACCATTCACAGTCCAGGCTGATCACCTGTTGAAGATTGAAACAAAAATAACTGCATTTAGAATTCAGGACCGAAACTAGAACTTGACATACAGCATGTTCAACAGATCGAATGAGCTTCTGTTGCTACTCTTCAAGATGTAGCCTTGAGATCGCGATGGCCCTGGTGTAAGGTTATCATTAAAGTTTATTGAAACTGCATGGAGAAAAACCATGTGCTAAAGAGTCAAGGATGAAGAGATGAAAATAATGTTCATAAATAACTAACAGTAGTGGTCACTGACGTGGCTGAGTTACAGGGAAACAGCTGATTTACAGTGATTTACAGTGAAATCCGGGCTGTGAAACCTGTGGAAGATGGTGCAACAAACCTGTGTTCATACCTTAAACCTTGAAATGTCATCAGCAATCCTGGTCATGGCCATGTCCAAAGCATCTGTGGTTTCTATGATGATAGGATCTGCAGCTTGCATCCTTTTTCTTTTCCATGCCTTCCTCCATCTATGCAGCAGGTAGGTTGCCATAGCAACTCCAGCCAATGAGGCAACAACTATATGGCTAATTGTCCTATTGGCCATCACGACAGGTGGAAGCTAGGTAGGATTAAACATGTCAAGAACAGTTTTTCATGTATGGTAACATTAGTGTGACTGTTGCAGTTACGCACATTAAAAAAAGTTTCTTGTTTCGTTAATAAGAGCGGAGGCGGCGGTGCTTTTCATTTTTTCACGATGGTTGAAATTTCATATTATGGGCAATCCTTGGTTCAAAAAAATGTTTGTATGATAAATTAAATTGTGTTTACACCACATCCTTTGTTTCCACACTTTGTTGGCTTTTTTGCAAGTTGCGAAAAAGGCATTAGAGCCTACTTCTGTTGTGTTTTTTTTTCCAACTTCTTCTGACCCAAATCCCCTTTGTTTCCTACACGTTTCTTCCACCATCGACTTTAATCCCTTAGCAACTTTGGATCTTCATCAAACTTACGTCAATGACGGGCCCTTGTGTATAGATGGTCCTAGAACTAAAGCAATTGGTAGCAACGCAAGCTACGCGATGTAGAAAGTTACCTAGGGAGTGTGAACAAAGAAGCAAAGTACTTGCACTGACATCATATAATAAGTGCATTTCCGATGGATTGTTGGGAATTTTTTTTATTTTTTAAGACATTGTGGGACATAAAAAATAAGAAAAAATGCACGCAGGTCCATAAAAGGATGCAGGTGGGGACGAAAAACTTTTTTTTTTAATTTTACTTTGTCTTATACATAAACAACTGCTTGACTTGGCTTGAGTGCTTCATTTTTTAATTTCTTACCCCCAGAACTGTGGGGTCTGACGCCCGCTCCACGGATGTTGGACCCCACAGTTAATGTTATATGATATAGCACGGCACGGTAAATAATTTCATATGCAACTAAGATGAAAACTTGAACAGCCCTTACACCTCCACCCAAGTGGGCATTTAAATCTGGCTACTGACTGGTCTAATCATAGAGCATGGCTTGCTCTATGGCGTGTACAGCTCCCTACCCCCGAACTGTGCGGTCCAATCACGGAGTGGACGACGGAACCCACAGTTCTGGGGTAAGACTATCAAAAAGTAACATGACTAAGACAAAAACCTCCTCTAAGAAGTAAAATGCTGACCCAGCCGAGTCTGGTCACACACGTCACAAGGCCTACCAGTTGCACACAAATTTTTTTTTTTCCAATCACAATCCACCTGAATACCTGAAGTAAAGCCTGTATTCTAATATGCAACTTCGAAGCTTGTGCAGAGAACTGTATCAAGTTTGGTAAACCATGGAGTTGATGACCCTGGTTAAAAGATACATTTGGGGGCCAAAAATGCGAAAATTACAAGCTTAGGTGTGTTCGGTGTTCCCAAGTGCATACAGCATGCAAAACATCG